GAATGATGTTGCCATAACACTGGCGAAGGCTGCAATATCTATGAACCGAAACCGGTTGTTCTAAGCACGGAAAAGACGAATGTTATCTGAGCTTTGACTATGCCATAAGATAAGTTCCCGACAGGGACTATCTCACCTTAGCATGTGATCTGAATGGGCACATCTGCAGTGAAAGAAGGGGTCAAATAGGATTCAAGGAGGAAGCGGAATAGGATTTAGAATCGGAGAAGGGTAGGGGTGTTTGATCTGGCTATAGTCCAGGACTTGGCAGCCCGCAGCATCCTCTCCACGGAAAGAAAGAGTCAGTAAGTAGCATACGGGAGGAAAAGAAACGGAAATAGACCATATCCGTGGAGATACTCTCTCGAAACCGTAAGGACATCAAGCTACTGTCTGGCGAAGAATTTGCTTCACAGACAGGCCTCTTCTCGCAGGCACAGCCATAGAGCCGAAAGAGAGGAACTCAAACGGAAGATATTAAAAATCGGGTTCCTCGATTCCCGAAGGACCAGTTTAGCAGACCTGTAGCGACACCGTGAAATTGATCCTGAGAGACTGTAGATTCCGAGAAGACAAGGAAGCGTTGGGCTGGAACGATGAGGGCCACCGAGTTGTGAGACAGAAGAAAGAGCTTACAAGCGCTGGCAAGACGCGTGGGCTTCCCAAGTCCTAGAGCCTTACAGAACTTCCAAGTGGCTGCCAAAGGTGCTGTAGCGAGAGGAAAAAACGCGGAAAGAGAGAAACTCTATGGTCGAGAAGGAGAGAAGTTCGTATTCAGTAAGCGAAAGCGCGGCACCGTGCTGCTCGGACATCGGATAGAGCGAGGTTGCAATCCTAAAAAAGTCTGATGAGGTCAGGAATAAATGGAAAGATTTCTTCGACAGGCTCCTGAACGAAGAATTCCGCCGCGGCAACAGCCCTTTAATAGAGGCGACGGCTGGTATCATCGCACTCTGGACAGAGAATGAGTGGCGTAGGGCAGGACCGTCGGGAAGCTGAAGTCTGGAAAAGCAGTCAGTCTGGATGTCCCCAAGGAGGCATGGAAAACGCTCAGAGAGCACAAGATCAGGTGGCTCACTCGGTTCACTGTGACCTCTGAAGGGAGAACTCGTGTAGGAGCAGCTCCACCCTATTGAGCAAAAGGGGAACACGACGGAATGTTCCAACTACCCGGGGATCAGGCTGATCGCTCACACGATGAATGCGGTTAGTCGATTCATGATTGAGAAAACTCGTCCTTATTCCACAGGAACAGTTCGGCCTCATTCCAGAAAGGTCTACAACGGATATTTCTTCATTGCCAGACAAGTAATAGAGAAGTACCGAGGAAAGCGTAGACCCTGCTAGCTACCCTATTTTGATCCAGATAGAGCTGTCGACCGTCTCCCGCGACATGTCCTGTGGCGAAGGGTCTACAGCAATGCCATCTTTGTAGCTGGACAAGCGAAGGAGAAGTATCGCCAAAGGCGTAAACCGCGGTAGTGCTCCTCGATTTGGAGAAAGCGTTCGACCGCGCACGGCGATCAGTTGTTTGGAGAGCGCACCGAGCATCATACATAGTATCAGTAATATTTTGTGAGTCCAGAGAGGTCAGAGTTCCACAAACACACCTGGTCTCCTAGGTCGTGGACATGTACGATGGGACTAAAACAGTTATGCGCAACCCCTGACGGCTGAAGAAGATCAAAGGACGTCATGGCCGAGCGTATTAAGAATTATTCCCAAGTCTGCTGCTCCTTGTGCTAGCAATCAAAAACATAGAATGATTGATATGCTCTGTTAGGCATTGTAAAGCGTGCACTACCTTGATGACATCGCTCTGATGACAGAGAGTAGGGGAAAACTCTAAGGCAAAGTGCAGAATTGGTTGGAGGTCTTGGCCGAAAACGGGCTAAGTGTGAAAAGACCAAATTGCTAATTTCGAGGAGTGCGCAAAAGCAATCCCAGACTACCTTTTGGGATCATCAAAAGTGTTCAAGTTACCTGTTGCAAGGAAGTGGCCTAGACGGCGATGGTTGCGTGGATGAGAAGGTGAAGGCTCGAACGTAAGGCGCATGGATGAAATGGAGGGTCCATGGCTATCCCCAGCTACCGAAGGTGCTTACATTAGAACGCTCGAAAGAAAGTTATACCTGACTGCGGTGAGGCGTAGGATGTTATACGGTGCTGACCTTAGACCAGAATCATGAAGGACAAGTCAAGTTTGTAGAGATGAGACTGAAGAGATGAGCCTCTGGTTGTATCAGGTTAAGAACGAATCCGTTTGGTCGGTCATACAAATAGCCCCTCTCCGGTTGAAGATGATGGACTTGCACCTGCGATGGTGAGAAAACCGGAGAATCGGCAAGAGAAGCAATAAAATTCGAAGCCCGGTGAAAATATAGTTGGGAGTCCTCCCGCCTAAAGAGTATGACTGTGGGTCCGCTAATACGGCTACCTCACCTTCGCTCTCTAGAGTTAGAGGCGAGAGATGGCCATCATCCCTACTACATCTTCACCCAGAGCCTTAGGCAAGATGATATGACTATCTTCAAAGATGAGTTGACGGGACGTGGCAAGAAGGATCCTGCCGAGATCAAGGTTACAGCAGAGGAAGCTGTAGATAGAGCGAAATGTTGACGAATGACGACGAACGAATGAGTAGCGGCTGCTACAGCGATTGATTAATCCTACGAGAAGATAATGAAGGAGAAGGTAATTCAGAAAATAGTTCACATAAGATGCTCATTGGAAAAGCTATAAGAGTTGGAGTAAGTAATAAATAGCGAGCATCTCGACCATGGTCGCCTTCATGCTTACTCCTGCTACTCTACTGCATACTATGTGTGAGCCACCGTAAAGGTGGTTATGTGCGCGTCTTCTCGCAGGTGCCGACGAACATGAGGCGATTGTTGTAATCACGGCGCATTCTTAGAACTTATTCGGTGATATATAAATAAAGCAGTTTAGTGCTAGGTAGGGAGGATACTTTACCAAAATTTTTCCTGGCATTTTAGACCAGTAAGGAAGAGGAGCATGTCGAGCGTGAAAAAGTTGCACTAACTTAATTTGAAAGCAAAAAAGACTTAAGTTTTGAAAGCATGCCCAGTGGTGGCATGGAAAAGTTTACGTTTTTTTTCGCTACACTTGATGTTTCTCTTCGAAATATGGGGAGCTTCGTTTGATAAACTTCCCCTGTCAAAGGCGTCTGCGCAACAGAAAACTAACAATCAGTTCAAAAATTTAGTAGTTAATGCTATTGGCATCTCCGCTATGAAAATTTCATTTTCTCAATATGACGAATATGAAAATGAAATTTCTCAAATTTCATTTTCTCAAGAATTTCCTAAAGAGGGCATTATAGGTTGAGACGTCAGAGCATTGTCTGAAAATAAATAAACACCTCTCGGTTCAAGTAACATCAAATGACCAATGATGACCTTATATTTTTCAAAAAAGCATCTATACGTGTTTACATCCTTCGAAAGCAAGCTTCAGCTTAAGAGATTCTCGATCAAAACCATAAGGTAGCTCAGGTAGCAGAGCGGTGAGAGATTCTGCAACCAAAAAAGTTGGAGGGCCTAGTTCTTTCTTTGTGTGTAACTACTTTCCTGCGATAATGAGACCAGTAACAATTCAGATTCGGTGGGTTATCAAACCTTTGCACCTCAAGAGGGGAATTTCTCGTTTTTTTTTGTTCGTTTGAAATAGTGACTTAACCGCTTACAGCATTTTTCATGATTCCCTTGGTTTGAAGGGTTTGCTTTCGCCTCCGATAACTCAGCTCAACCCAACTGTTGAAGTACAACTACTTTCTAGGGTATCCCTTGGTTTCGAAGAATTTGCCCGACCCAAACTGTGTACGATTGTAAGAANAACTGTCTCCGAATTGGGTTTGTTTGAAGCTGGGTGAACGCGGGTTGCTACGACAACGCTCGTTAAAGTTGCAATTTCGCGGTGTAGGCTCTGCTCAGCTCAATTTAATGATTTGTTTCAGCAAACCGTTAGTATGAACCATATAAGAAAGGCATCAAGCGTCTGAAGTCGGAAAGTTCCCACAACTAAACAGTGCTTTTTAGTACACAACTAGTAGGACGATGTTGTTACCCAAATTCGGTTACTTTAGCGTGCCTTTTCGCTATTTCGTTTACGGTGCTTCGCTGAGTCCGAGGTACGCAGCCAAATGAATCGTTATCGATTTTAGATGGCGTCGGTGTGCACGGGCGGCCTCCACGGTGGCGAGGTCGCCGGCACAACGAGAGGTCGGCGTTGCGGAGCGGTCATCGGGCGTCTTTCTTCCCCTCCGCCTCTTCATCCCCCACCACCCTCACTAGTCTTATCTTACTTTTGTGTCTATTGTGCACTATCCTATATTCTCGATGTCGGAGAATAGAGCCTTTACAATGATCTGTATGTCCATTGACTTTGCTGCACATCATACAACGACCCAGTAGGCAGTTTTTGTACTTCCCATTTCGACAGAGGTCGTGGGGCACGCAGCGGAAAGTGCGTTATCGATTCACGATGGCCTTGCGTTTGGCCATGGTCGCCATTCGAGCGAGGTCGCTGATGCCGTGCAGTCGTAGGCCACTTTTTTTCGCGCTTGCTATTATTCGTAGGCACTCTCAGCATTTACCACTCAGCTCCAAACTTAATAGACAGCTTCATGGTTTTTGTCTGTACTGTTTGTACTACATCAATCCGACATCTTGAAAAACCTTGTAAAATAGTAATTGCTGCATGCGGGATGTTGCGAAATTTACTTGTTCCGAAATTCACTCTTAACATAGTGCCATGTGTTTTCTAGACCGTTGTCCCTCCTCAGCTCTTCGTTAAGTATCACGTATTGTTCAGAATATATTCATACCATTTTGAAATGATGTGCTTGATTTCATGCTTTCATCAAGATTTTTCATCATTTTGTTTCCATTGGCTGCAGCAGTTCTTGGCCAACAGCTTCATTCGCGTCTTTCCTGTTAAACGTGGTGCTTTCGTCGAGAATTTGGCCAATCTTTTCAGTTATGAAGCGTGAACACACTGACGATGACAGGTTCGGCGGCTCGCGTAACTCCAAGCGTCAAAGAGCCGATGGGTAAGTAGTAAGGGCTTGCAACCAATGCTACTTGAAATTAACAACTAAGATGGTTTTCAGCTTTTCGGAAGCACTGGCTCAGGGTAAATTTGAACTTCGTATTCTTGTGAGCAGTAAATGTGCAGGAGCTATCATTGGTAAAGGCGGTGAGAACATCAAACGTCTACGCACCCAGGTATGTCTCACTTATGTTCGCTAGGGTAGGTGTTTGCAAGTGTACAGTAGTGGTAGCTGTAGGAGCGGATCTCATCACGGAGGAACCTGGGCATGCTGCGATGTTTGACGGTCCACGTAACCTTAGGATGCGCATCGGTTTTTGGGCTGTACTATTGATATGAGCCCTATGGAAATGAGCGAATAAGGTCACGAATCTTACTAAACAAAGGTCGTCGTGACCTCAGTTACAATTGTCTAATTAGGGGAAGGCTTAAATATCGGCTGCAAATTCATATGATAAAGAGGTTGACATCGCACTAGTGCTATCGCCATATTCCACTTATGAAGGTGTACTTTCGAAAGAAAGTGGACAATTTCACGACGATCGATGGAGCGGTAACAGCTGAGAACAAGCAAGGGTTGACGCTTTAAAACCGGTAAATGAGAATCAGCTCAACTGCAAGATCAGTCGAGTGGGTCTGCTGTTCTCTGCCGGAGTCGCACAACTTTAACATTGTCTGGAAACCCGACTCGACATGATTACTGGTTAATCGATTCACTGTGTGGAGATGTGAATGTCTAATTTTGTTTTACGGATGCGAACTGGCGCTTATTTAGCGCAGCATTTACTTTTCAAATCGTACTGAATCGGCAGTGGGCATCTTGGTAAAATCATAGTGTACATTAAAGGGAGAATATATAAATCCATCACTATCTATGTTTTGTCATAGAGGCAACCAATCTCTATTGTGATGCATATATATATCCATATAAAGGATAAAGAGAGGTGGTGTAGTGACATGTGGTGCACTGTCACACACCCACGGTCACGGGTTCGAGTCGCGAATCGATAACTGCCTGGACCAGCCAGAGGAGGGAGACAGCTCCCTACCGACTTAGTGAAGATTAGCTGCAGAGAAGAAGGGGTAGGCAACCTTACTTGTGCTTGGAGATGGTTCCGGCCCCAAAAGGAAATTATTTTGACCAAATTTAGAAGGGAAGGAGCTCCGGGTGGGTGAGATGACTACCTCGTGCGAAAAGGTGAGATGGCATAAGAATCGAGTATCCATTTAGCTCACTCACCCTTTCCCTTTGGAGGCTAAGGTAAAACGTATTTCTAAGGACATCTAAGAGTTTAAGGAAGCTCTTAAGTGCGTTGGGTACATCTGAGATTGGGCCCTCATCTCAATCGTTCAAGCTCAAGGTTCCTTCGTGTTTGGGCTCGTCGATCGGTATCTGCGTTTTGAGTTTTCTGTGAAGTTGGGTCACCTATAGACATTGGGTATAAATGGTACCAGTGAGGCATTGAGGAAATAGGATAACTGCCTAGGGGTGAACATTTCTGACCTGAGTACTCGTAGTTCATGTTTGTTTAGAGTTTGTGGTTTTTTCTACGTTTACGAGTTTTTTATGGCGTGTTGTGTAGATTTGAACGCGCAATTTGCGCCATATGTATGCGCTAACCGTCCTCGTTTTCAGTTCGAAGGCCAGATCTCAGTTCCCGATTCCAACTCTCCCGAACGGTAATTCCCTACACTACCCGTCCCATTCATTGCCATATGTTGTGCCCAAGAATATGTGAAATGTGACTCTGTGGTCATGCGGGGAGAAGAGACCGCACGTCAATCGTCGGATCCTCCATCTCCGTCACCAGAATGACCCACCCGGCCCTAAGTTTATTCCACCTTTTTCCCTAAATAACAATGGATATCTACGAGAACTGGTCTGCGACGATAGTGCTAGATGTAATGCATTAATCGATACAGTAGGTGTGTAGGGCATTTGTTCTATAGTTAGAACTATGCTAACTGGTCTACCAGTGGTTACTACTTTTGAACTCAAGTTATGAGTAGGTGGGAAGAAAAGTTGCGGACCAGTTCTACTTAGAAAACGCGGAGTTGAAACGAAATCCATGGCTAGTGGGTTACTGTATTCCATTTTGACAGTTTAATGTTATCAAAATTGTTCTATAGCTTGTGTGCGCAGTATTCATGTTTTGCCAACTCATTAGTGGAAAGGATATTACTACAAACGTCTCATTCTTGATATTCTCACATGTAAAGGAAATTGAAGAGTTAAATTCAGTATGAAAATGACGAAAATTGCGGTGAGCAAAGTTCCACTGGTCATGGATTTCCCATTTGATATTGAACTCCGTGTCAAAAAAGAAAGGCTTCGTTTTGCATTTTTTTTTACTCAGTCTAGAAACCAAAATCCCTTGCCTTTCGTAAATAATATCTTTTTTTTTTAAAATATATACGTTGTTGATGTAATTGTTTTTAATTGATATTTTCTATAGTGTGTTGACAATGGTGTGCGCAGCCTCAACAATTGTTCGTATCATCGAGGACATATTGCCACGTATCGAGGATGTTAGTGCCCATCATCCTCTTCACATGCGAGATTCACAGCAAATCTGTATCGTTTTCAGTCCCAGAATGATCGAGATAAGTTCACAATCCGACTGTTGGTGCATCAGTCGCACGCTGGCGCCCTTATTGGCCGACAAGGATTGAAGATCAAGGAGTTGCGCGACAGGACCAATGCCAGAATCAAGGTAATCAAGAGTGCTAAGTGTTTACGCAATTTGAGCGCTTTTCTTTCAGGTGTTCCAACAGTGCTGTCCTCAGTCTACGGACCGTATTGCCATGATCTCAGGTGATGAACGTAATGTCGTCGATGCCGTGGAGAAGATTGTTGAGGAACTTAAGCAGATTCCTATCAAGGTCGTAGATGTTTGGAACGTACCTCTTTGTTACGTTTCAAAAATGATATTTTCCATTTACAGGGACCTGTGAATCCATACACTTCTTTCAACTACGATCCTGTACTTGCGCCTGATTACGGTGGTTTTTCGCCATCTTATCCAGGAGGCGGACGTGGCGGCCCTCCACTAAGCCCCTTCGGTAGTGTAAGGCCTGATCGATCAGTAGGCCATGCCGTTTATTTTTTTCACATCCAGGATCTCGCGGTCGGCCTGGAATGGGTGGTCCAATGCCATTACGAGGCGGTGGTCTTGGTGGACCTGACATGCGTTTCGATCGTGGATTAGGAAGAGACTTTGACGGTAATTTTATACCTCATTCGAAAACATTTCTACCATGCAAGTGCTGCGCAAATCATTGCAAAAGGTATGCCCGCTTTTTGCAGGTCCATATGGTGGTCCAATGGGTGGTCCTCCATACGGTGGCGGCATGTCCTACGGAGGTTACCCTGGCCAAAACTCAATTCAGACCACTCAGGTATAGCCATTTTCTTTGTAGTTCAAAATAGGTATTGATTATCTAAGAAAAAGAACTAGCGCGATGTATTGACCCATACCTTTGAATGTAAATAAGGAAGCTATAAATAACCAACGCTCCTTAGGCCCCCTATATTTAAGGAACAGTCCTCTTCTTGGTAATGTTCCGGCGGTTCTAGAAATTGTCTAGGTAGGTTTTGGATGTGTTCATAGATTGACTCTATGCAAGAAGAATATTCGGAGCATATGGTGCGTGATTTCATCGAGCAGAATGTTCTACGTCTTCAAGGATCACAGCTAACTGGTCGCCGGATGGACTTTCCCAGCAAGTGTAAGAGGTTGTCGTGGCGGTGACCCTACGATGCGCGCCCGTGATTTCATACAGCGTAGCACGATGAAATGGCGGGTCTGTGCAGCCTCTGTGCATTAGCATGCCAAACTAGAGTATCAGTTCAGTTGGTTCTTTTTGTTCACGCCACCCATATTGCAGTTGTAAGGTTCCCACCTCTGTCGTCGCAACGAGGTTGATTCTCAGTTTTGGAGTGCTGAGTTATCATTGGTAAGTATTGGATACCAAAAAAGGGGCATTGATCAGAACTACATATGTCCGTTCCTCGTGAAATCCTACGTTACACTAAGATTCTTTGTGCATTTTAAGCGTTGTAATGTTGAATGATGACGAATGAACCGATCTTTGACATGGGAGATAGGTTTCCCAATTATACATAAGATCGATTCGTTAGACATAAGATGGATTCAAGTATTCGTGGTGATATTAGTTGGTTCTGATGAAGACCAAGGTCGATAGTAGACGACTTGGGATTCTTTCCAGATTATATCCTACCCAAAGTTCAGTGCGGAGTTTGGGAATTGTGCCATGCGCAAGGATTGTGATGAGGCAAGGATATCGGGGGAGGTGAGTGTGAAAGGTAAAGCAGGGGCGCGTTTTTCATAGTTGTGGTTGTTGGTCCACGTTCTGTATTAGCTGGTTAATAACTTTGGAAATAAAACAGTTCGAGAGAAACAACAAATGTTTTAGAAAAAAAACTATTTTTAGCAGGGTGCTATTGAAGAGGTTCAATACTATATTAATAACTTGTAGTAGGGAAAAGTGGTTCACTATTTTTATGCATTTCAAGTTATTTTGTGTAAGTTTCTTTAAAGCGCTCTAAGGGATTGTGCTAGGGGTTAGTGGCAGGGCGGACTTAGCTGCACATATTGCTTCACCTCTCGAAATGGCTGAAAGAAAGGTATACCCGGGTAAACCTCTTGGTTTAATTCGTCCCCCTCAACTTAACGTGCACTCAATACAGACATTGTTTTCCGTTGCCGATTTGTCTCCGGGTACCAACTTTTCCTGAGCAGGAAAAGCCCCGTTGCGTGCATAGTGGTCGGTCTCCCTAATCATGTCTCGATCAGCTCTGTTGACTTTACCACTACTCTCCCATTTCCCATCCTTCCCATCTTCGAGAGCGAAATGTCGTCACAGTCACTTGATATAAGTTGGTTGCAGGTGATCGCGTCACCGCACTTCGTCTGACGTGGTCAACTGTAGATGGTTTGGTGTGTACTATGTATGTGTTCCTCACATTGTTCCTGTTTACGCTTCTTCAATGACTCCTCGTTTTTCACTTCATAACAAGACGACGCACAACGTTATCAATTGCTCATTGGCTCCGCCCCTTCTTACCTGAGTATCATTGACAGCCTCGAATACCTGACTGCGGTTGCCTAGCTGATAGCCAATCACGCATTGTGCCAGCGAGCTGCGTACTACTCTATTGATGAGTCTACTGGCGTGCGACGAGGACCTGCTTGGCATTATGGAACGCATCTGCATTGTGATTCTGTCCTGTATATTTGACTGTGGTCTGTGCAAAGCGTTCATGTCTTCATCATCCACCGGTACCCCTATAACTGCTATATTTTGAGCACGTTTGCATGAGAAGGAATGACTTTACAGCACAATTTGAGCATCTTAATACTCTCAATGGCAGTATTTCATTGCGGTCGAATACGACCAGGTACGCGTTCTGATGGTCGTTTTTAGGTGACGATACCTTCGGATCTTGGAGGCACGATCATCGGACGTGGTGGCGACCGGATCAATAGAATTCGCGACGAGTCTGGAGCCCAGATTACACTGGAGCCGTCGACTGGCCAGGAAGAGCGCGTGATCACCATTACAGGCACTCAAGCACAGATTCATGCCGCTCAGTATCTTCTGCAGCAGTGGTCAGTGACACAGGCTTTGTCTTAGTCAGGGGTGCATCTTTCGTTATGTAGGGGGTGAACGTTGCTAATCCGCACTGGGGAAAGGATCCCGAATGTATACTGTGCGGTGTATGTGACACATGGTCCAGGATGTCAGCTCTTGTAGGGAAAGCCTCCAGCTCCTATACGTAATCCTTCGATGTTAACCACAGGAAATTCAACGGATACCGAACCAGCTGTTGGAACTATCCTTGCTCACTCTTCTCGGCTTGAGCAGCTCAATCTTCTAATTCGAGGGATATGCTATGCAATGGGACATGGCATACGCTGGAAAAAGAGTTTCTCAACTACTTTACTTTACTGAGGTCATGGACCGCTTGGAATCTCGTTCTTCTGGTTCACGAAATCGACGCGCTGTCGATGGAACGTATTCATAGGAAAGAGTTTATCTAAAATACACGAGAGATGATCACCATTGCATTCGAGTTGATTACTGCATCAAGCAAACAGTCACTTGATGTCTTCATTATGGGTTATTGAGGCGGTATGTTCTGCAGTGTCAGTCCTGTTTGTGGTTTCAAGGACGGGATTTCAAGAACGGCGATCAGGATTTGAAGAATAGCCGATCACAGTATTTCCCAAGCGAGACATTTCAGCAACTAAAACGAAGGCCCTCTGGTTGTTTCCTAGCTTTTCAAGTTTGTGCATGTCGGTACATTGCCTGCTCTCCTGTCCTGTGTGGCACCATTTCTCGAAGCCTCTATTTTCCCAATGTCGACTGTTAGTGTTCGGCACGGTAACTGCACTGACACTCACGTCATATCATACACCTGAATGGGGTTGCCGAATGGAAGACAGGAGATTGCGTCGTTGCACTTTCACCTCGCTGCAATCCCCGTCTATCCGATCGGCTCACTGGAGGTGTCCCTTCTAGATGTGATTTCTATGATACTCCTATCAAGGGTAAGTTTAACGGCCATCTGCTTGCGTTGCCTTTATTGGCTATTTTGTTTGTTTCATAAGGTTAGTGGGTCTTCAAGCTATTCTGAACGAAGTACAATATATATATTTATGGTTTTCACAAGGCAGGAAAATGTGTTAAATATTTTTCGGTAACTTATAGTTTTTGGCATTCAATGTGTTATTCCGTAGATTGACACTGGTTGAAACAGAGCCAGATTAATAACTCCGTGTAAGGAGACGGTATTTGGTGAGGCAGTGGGAAAGTTGTTACAATTAAATGTTGTATCAAAGATATTGTGTCGATTACCTGATTGCAGCGTGCGCCAGTCGGCCGCAGGCCGGAAGTATATCGAGCAGCAGCAAGGTGGACACCATAGTCACCATCGTTGAGCTTTGAGCCAACGATTACGGGGATACGATCCTCACCAGTGTTGAAATTGTTTCCATGAAGCGGTTTTACCCGCTGTTTTCGTCTATTCAATGGTTATTATGATATTTGAAGCGTTATTTGTAGTATTGTCCTTTAACAATCTTCGTAGTAGAATGCATATCTCAAAATGTGGATTCTGTTTGTGTCCGTTCCTCTCTGTTCTTTTCGGTTATTATGTCTCGCGACACACACTGAACGAATATGGTTGACGGCTGTGTCTTTGTTGAGCCATCTCTGTCGATCTCTCGGTACGACGTGTAGCGCTTGCGCATTCGAGGTTTGGCCTCTTTCATCCCCCATCACACCAGCCTGATGTGCTTAATTTGAGTGCAGTCCATATTTCTGTGTCAGTAACTGCAGCGAGTGTTGTTGTGTAGTAACGTGAAGTAATAAAGTTGTTCTTATATCGAAGTTTCACTGCTGTGGGAAAGTGTTGAAGGTAGTAAAGTCTAACTTTTACTGTGTTAGAGCTCTGTTTATTGAAATGGGGCTATCCGGAAAGGCTGTTGACGGAGCTAACCAGTTTAGAGGATTTTGAGTGTGTCTTTACACCTTTTGCGACTTGCGAATTTAGAATAGCAAGAGAACGCTCTTTAAAAATACCCAGGAATAACCACATGAACATTTGTCCAGTTGTATAGCAGTTGAGGGACGAGCGCGTAAGGTGGCGCTCACGTAATTCCGTTCTGTTGTTTCGTTTGAACTCATGAGCTTGAGGTGAATTTCCTGCTGACTTGCCCATTTTAACTTTATTCACTCAGGTATTTCTGTGGCCGGTTCATGCCAGGTAAGGTGGCTATTCGGCCTTAGTGTCAATTGTTTCGGTACACGTGCGCTATAAAATAATACAAACCAAACGCACGATTCAAACGTGTCCGTCTGATATGGTAGTGACGCTAAGGTGCGACGTGACTTACCATTAGATTTATCGACGATAGGATCGGACGTTCTCTGGTGGGGCAGGCGTGGTACGGGTGGTTGTTAAATTCTTATCCCTTCTCGGACTTTTGCACGAAAGAATCATACATCATCCACCCCAGAGCTATTGAAGGTTAGATAAAAACAATCTCCTTTGGGCTAAAAGCCATCCCTAAGCGCGAGTGGGGTTGGCTACCCTACCCCTCCTTCTCGACTTCAAAAGAGCACTGCCCTCTTCAACACAGATCGAGGATTGAAGCTCCCTTGATTTTACGGTCTACAAAGTTGGGCCCACGTTGAGTTATTGGTTTAATGTCAGCTGAATAATTTAAAGAGCTTCAAGGTTTGGCCTACTTGATTTTATTATGAGTGTTTATAGGGCTGAATTTTCAGCTATCAAAAGTTGAGTCGCTCAAGAGGTGTTAATATCATCAATGGTGACTGATGATCTGAAAAATAAAACGGTGATGTATTTGTGACGTTGGTGAGTCCGAAAAGTCCGCAGAACCCGGTTTGTAAGTGCGAACTAGATGGTTGCGATTCTTCAGTCATAAAGACTTGTCATGTATTTCAGTGGTGGTTAATAACCGACAATAACACAAGTATTAGTGTTCTAATTTGTCTCTGAAATATTGAACGCTGTCAGATAAGAAATTGTGTTCAACTATTTTCGCAATACTTGACTCGTTTCGAGAAGGAGTGCCTACTCAAAACAGCTCGCTGGCGCGGTCTAACCATCAGATTCCGCTCTGATTCTAATGAGCATTACTTGAGGTGCTTGCGTCAAACTAAGGTTAACGATTTTTGTTCTTATCAGGGGTTTGGGTTCACACGTGCGGCAAATTGCGCGGCCAAGTTGTGGCGAGTCGAACGACTCTAGCGCCTATTATTGGGGCTAAACTTGAAGTAGAGTAGTTTGGTAGGGTCAGCCAATCCTATTAATCTACTCTATTTCCGATTTGGGCCCCATTGAAAGGCGTTAAAGTCACTCAAATAGCCACAAAATTCTCCGCGCAATTTGCGCATGCTCGAACGCTCGTAAGTTCCGTACCCCTCCTATCAGCCATTCCATGATGGGACTGAATTTTGTTGCGTTGTTTCCTCACAAATGGCTTTATTTATAGTTGCTGGCAGTCCACCAATGAGTCGTCACCACTTTCGCGGAGCAATCACCGTCATTAATACCCTTCAGCTATGAAATTTATAAGTTCAGTTTCTTAGCATGGCGAATTACAATGTGCAATTTTGAAAATCTCGGACGGCTAAAGCACCACAGACCGTGACTGCCATCAAACGCCGTCTTTCCTTATTCCCTATTTTTCACTTTTGTTTTGTCTTTGATGTGACTTTCCGGAGAGTTTTCTTTAAATCTTTTGTCGTCTTATCTCAACTAAGAACTTTTCTATACAGCATACTAAAGTAACCTCCTTCACGCCGATATAAGTTCTTTGATTCCTTTATGATGAATAGAAAACGAAAAAGAAACACATAAAGGTTGTTATGGCTGTCAACAAGCCTTCTTTGCCTTTTCAGACAAGGCATTTAGAGCTTTCTCATTTTGCTTTTTTGGCGTAGTCAACGAAATGAATCCTGGACAAAGCGCAAGTTCTGGTACCTGACCTGTGCTCTTACTTGAATACTGGAAACTTCTTGGTAGATCTTTTTCGTCAGGGTTTGTCGCATCTGGAGGCGAGGTAGGCTTACTGGTATTTTGACGCCATTTCTTTTTTTTTGTTCAGTGAAGACAGGTGAAGACAGAGGGCAATCAACTTGAAACCTCGTTCAACGTATCGAGAAAGCGCTGCTTTGAGCGTCTCTTAGGCGTTTTCAGGCGTATTTAGGCTGAGGTCAATCATACAAACACTGTGCATGACATCACCTGGCGTTTTATCAGCGAAAGTGGTTTTATTGTATCATTGCGAATATGGTCCACACGCTTGACCGCCGATCAGAGTAGCTTTTTCGTCTCCATCATCCCAATGCTGGCATTACTCTAGTCACAGGCCAGGACTGTGCACCATGTTTCGTGACTTTTATAACGGTCCCGTCGGTCTTTGTTTATGAGTAGAACTGGTACTTGCTTGTCGCAAAGAACGCCAATTATCGAAGACTAATCAGACCAAGCCGCAAGCACAAGTGGGTCACCATCAGGGTCCAGATTGACGTCAGACGAGAAGAACTTGAACAACAAAATCATACTGTGAGCGGTAGCGTCTCGATCATTTGACTTCATGGTCATGTACTGGATCTTTTTGATGGTAATACTATAACACACTAATTGAGCTACGCACGCTAATGAGTGCGTCACATGTCCACAAACGATTATCTACGATCTTACTCATGAAGAACACAATCGTTTTTCATGTTCCGTATACACGACAGTGCTTCCAAAATTTAATTTGTTTCATTTCTGGAAATCACCATCAAGAGTTAAGGAACACTATTATGTCTCACCACCGGCTGCCGTTTGATTTACCCTCCCGCGCGAATATTTGAATGGCTGCTTTCATAGTTCGCCGGCCGGCACGCAAGCGAGCGGGCGCACCGACGGGCGGGCCGGAAAACTATGAAAAGCATACAATGAGGATGTCTCTCTGAGGGGAATGCAGAAATGTGCATGTGTTGTTCATATGACCTTCTCCGCTACACTGCAAGTAAGGAAGAGTTGGGTCGGTGAAAGACTGCATCTTATGTTAGTTGCGAATCCTAATGAAAAAAGCATTTCTCCAATGTCTGTCTGTCTTCGAAATGTCCACATTCCTAACGCCAAGATGGAGGTTATTTCGTATTGAAGTAATTGGTTCAACTTACACTCTGGTAGATTCTTAACTTCTTCCACCATCTTAAGTAGGTGGCAATAATAAGGGTCACTATTGACCGACCGCAAATGAGACATTTTTGATCATTTTGTATAGAGTTATTCATGTGAGTTTCAATGACAAAGGATAAGTTGCTGTAAGGTCACTGGTTTTTAAATGCTCGTCTCTCTACGGAGGTGCAAATATTGCTTAGGTGTTGATTATCCTGAGTATTCTCGAATCCGGTTCAAGGAGGAACCATATTTATTGCAGCCCCAACGACTAACTCAACAGGAGAAACTAAAATTGAAGAAAAAGTAATGATTTTGCGGAAAAAAAGCGTTCCACGCAGTCCACCCAGTTCTCCTTTGCTCGGAATGCGAGGAACACAGAAATACCACGATTGATGTTATATCTGATTCTGTTCTAGTAATGCTTATGTGAGAAACTCGCGTAACATAGCCACATGTTTCAGTTCTGAAGAGAGTTGCCCACCCTGACATAGGGCATGTCTTCTATCGGTTGAACACTCCGCAAGCATTCTACCGAGTGAGACATACGTGACGCTGGCTTCAGGACTGTCACGTGGTTTCTGATTCAAACATCCACGCGCAGGAAAATTGTACAAACGGCAGCCGGTGGGAGTGGCTGCTTTAATAGTCCGCCAGCCGGCGAGCGCCGGCGCGCCGGCCGGCGGACTATGAAAGCAGCCACTCCGAACGCTTGCGGCAAATCTTTTTTAGTTGTCTCGTGGCTCCAAACTGCAATTACCGTACCCGGCCAGTCTCTCACCAATCGAGAGGACGCAGTACTTTTCATTGACTGCCTTCCTTTTTTGATTGATTTTGATTGTTTCTTCTCTTTCGTTTTCGTTTTTATGTCTACTGGATTTGATTGTTCGAAATGGGTACCCCTATATTATCGATGATAAAGACCGCATCCCTAACCCACAAATTGCGCGCTCCAATCTTCCGTCGCGATTGTGCGATACGCTGACGGTGCGGCGAGTGCGGTGCCGTGTTCGGGGGAAGTACCGGACCCCTCGACGTGTAGAGGGGGTGCTATCTATTTCCACACCCCTCGCGGTCTGCAGTTACGGGTACTATTCTACTATTACACCCCCAAAAACTCAAAATTT